GGAGGGAGGGGCCGGTGACAGTGCGGAGCTCCTGCCAGCGTCCGCGCCTCGGGAGCGGCCGGACGGAAGAGAAGGTCCGCCAGACGCCGGTCGGCTGCCCGACGCTTCGGACCCAACCCCGAGCTGAACGGCCGGCCGCCGCGGCTTCTGGTTGGTCGGGGGAGGCGCTGCGGCCACCTCAAGGAAGATGTTTAACGTGGAGTCGGTGGAGCGGGTGGAGCTGTGCGAGAGCCTGCTCACTTGGGTACGTGGTTGGGGCGGCAGCGGGCCGGTGGGGGAAAACTCCGCCAACCTTCCCCCGGACACCGGGGCTCGTCCCGAGGGGCGAGCACCCCGGGCGACCTGCCGTCACATCCGGGGCTTGCGACGGGCGGAGCTGAGGAGCCGGTGCGGGCCGCGTCTACACCCGCGGGCCGGGTCAGGGTCAGCAAAGGGAGCGGCCGGGCTCAGGCAGGCTGGGCCCAGCAGGGTCCAGGAGGAACTTGTCCGGCCCCGAGAGGTTGGCTGCTGTCCGAGAGGAAACCTGCCCGGTGGGGGCTAATGATGGGGTGCAGGCGACACTGTAATTAGGACTGCGTGCAGGGATGAGGCGCTGGCGCTTCGCTCCCCAGTTCCCCGTGATCCAAAGCGTCGGTTCTGCCTGGGCGCCCGGTAGAGGCACTCGGGACCCCTGGTTACGACGCTGCTCGCCTTTGTTGTAGCGTTCAGCCAGGATGGAGCGGAGCCCCTTGAGGGATGAAGCCCTGCCCATTGGAAAAATCGTACATTGGAGGGTGGGTAGACAAAACATGAAGAATCACCCAGAGGCAGAACATTTGAAATGCGAGATGCATTTTGACTGTTATAAAGTAAAGGATGTGATGGTACTTATAAAGGAATCAAGGATTTAAAAAAAAAATTTTTTTTAAGCTGGGAGGATTTAGGGAATTAGTAATGGAACTGAAACACTTTTTTTTTTTAAGCAACGTGAGATTCTAATTTGGAATTGATAAGGGTTAAGGTTATCAAATTTTAAAGTAAAGACGTTGGATTTTAATGTCAATAGTCATGGCTTAAGCAGCCGTTTTCATTAGCTGGGCAGTTAACCCATGTTTGTTTCTGTTTTTAGCAGGCTGGTTGGAAGTGGGTACAGGCGTATGCAGAGCCATGGGATAAACCCAAGTATCCCCCTGAGAACATTCGTTTTACTTATGGCTAAAAATTGTTAACCGTCCTTTTTAGAAAAACACAGATATATTTACGGAGGTTACTATGACCAGTGTTAATTTTGTCTGCTTACTGGGGGAGATGGTGGTGATTGGACCTCCTGCGTGCTGAGTGAAGGCTTTAGCACTAAGCTCTCCACCCCCACCCCCAATTCACTTTAAAGGTAAAATGCAAACATAAAAAGAAATTCTGTTGAACAGTGTCTTGGGTTAGAGGATCCGGTCTCTGGAAGCTAGCCATCACTGTTTTGTGCGGGGTCACTGCTGAGAAGTTCGAGAACTGTTAAAACTTACATTGGTTGTAATAAATGTAACAAAGGTAAATCCAAAGATGTGCGTGTGTTTGCGGTAGGGTCTTGCTGTGTAGCCCATTTTTGGCCTCAAACTGTGATCTTGAATTTGTAGCAATCTTCCTGCCTCAGCTTCCTGGGTCCTAGGATTATAAACTTGCATCACTACACCCAGCTTGAAGTTTTTTTTATAATCCGGGTATCGTCCTTTGAAACATAAACTTTATACAATGCAGAGCTCTATGGTTTGGTTTTGCATTAGATCATTCCTGTAATTTCAGGTTGTTTGAAATGATGCATAGTTAACATACTCTGTAAGTTCTAACTTCAAGCAAGAAGATAAGCTTCCCTGCTGTGCATCAAGTAGGATGGTGGTGATAGGTTGTGTAACGTAGCTAAGCCTCCGTCAACTTTCCAGACTATTATTTAAACCAGGAGGACTTTTGAAAAGATGGGAAATGGTTTTTGTTTGTTTGTTTGCTTTTTGTTTGTTTGAGACAAGGTTTTTCTTTGTAGCCCTGACTGTCCTAGAACTTGCTTTGTAGACGAGGCTGGCCTTGAACTCACAGAGATCTGCCTGCCTCTGCCTCTTGAGGGCTGAGATGAAATGTGTGCACCATCACCACTGGCCGGCACGAAAAAGATGGAAAATGTTTTATACGCAGTCGGTATATAGCAAGCACAGAGTGTGCTTACAGCGTACCCCTGTGCTGTTATGCCTGCCAGTCTCTTTTAAGAAGGTATTGTCATGTGTGTGGTTGTGATGTGCACGTATAGGCATAGTTGCCGCCACATGCACGTGGAGGTCAAGAGTCAGCTTTTTGGAGTTGGTGCCCTTCCATGGTTTGCCAAGCAACAAACTCAGGTTGCAAGTCACCAGCCAGCCTGCTGTGGTAAGCACCCTCGCCCACTGAGCCATTTCCATAGCCTGTTGTTTTTTTTAAACAACGATCATTTTATTTTTAAAATTTTTAGTATTTATTTGGGGGGGGGGTGCATACACACACGTATCACAGCCCTTTGTGGAAGGCATTGGCTTATTTAGTCAGTTCTTTCTCATTATTTGGACTTTTGAGAATTTTATCTATGGATTAATGTGTTTTGGTCAGATCGACTCCTCCCCTCCAACTCTGTTTCACCACCACTTGTCCCTCTCGAGTTCAAATGCTCTTTTTTCCTTTTTAACCTATTGAGTCCATTTAGTGTTGACAGTGTATATGTGGGTGTAGGCCCGTTTGCTGGAGCTTGAGTAACTTAGGGACTGCACTCTGAAGAAAACAGACTGACTCTTCCTCCTCCAGCAGCTGTCAGTTGCCAGTAGCTTCTCAGCAACATGACCTCCTCTCCATTCATTCTAGGATTTTGGCTAACTGGAGCTTGTGCAGGTCTTGGGCAAAACAGCCACAGCACAGCCATTGTAGATTCTTATGCGCACCATCCCCTTCATATCCAGAAAACACGTTTTTGCAGCAGTTCTCTACAGTTTCTGGTCTTAGAGTCTTTCTGCCCCCTCTTCTGCAATGATCTCTTGCGTCTTAAGAAGAGGGTCTGTGATCGAGGTGTCCCATTTAGAGTTGAGCACTGGACGGTTTCTTAGTTTCTGTACTCTGATCAGTTGTGAGTCTCCATATTAATTGCCCTCTACTGCAGCAATAAGCTTCTCTGATGAGAGTTGGGAGCTGCACTATTCAGTGGGTATAAAGATAAGTGTTTAGAGGGCAGTTTGATACCTTGTCCATTTGGCAAAATAATAGTAAGTTCTCTCCTGGAGTCTGTGACCTGCCCAGTCACGTGTTCTTGGCCCAGTTAACAACATAAAGCATGAACTCTGGTTTGTGAAGTGAGCCTTATATCCAACCAGAAAGCAATTGCTTACTCCCATAACACTGATGCCACGATTGCACCAGTGGACATATTTTTATCAACCCGTTTGTCATTGTAACTTTCAGGGTTCACAGCTGGGTAAGATGTTGATTATTCTTCTCTCCCAGCAGCCTGCATAGCACCATGTAGCACTATGAAAGCTAGCCCGTAGGGATTAAGCTTCAAGGTCAATACCAGTTTGATTTCTCCATGTCCTGTGGCTCAATAATGTAGTGTCTTTAGCAATAGGGTCTTTCTTCCAAGTTCTGGTGGGTAACTAAGAGCAGTGACAATAGCCTTTATTGTTTTATGGATCCATAGGACCCCCTATGACTACCAGCTTAAAGAGGGGTGACCAAATCTGGCACTGCCCAGGCCCAGCTTCTTGAACTCTGCATGAATCATGATAAAAAGACTGCACTCTCTCAGGTCTTAGTTGATTGATTGTTTGTTTTATGGTGCTGAGGATTAAACCTTGTGTGTGTACTGCACAACTGAGTTATATAATTCCATCCAGTTACCCAAGAAACTGGAACACAAGACTCCAGAGGGGCTGGAGAGATAGCTCCACAGTTAAGAGCTTGTGTTGCCCTCACAGAGGACCCTGATTTGGTTCCCAGAACCCACATGGTTCACAACCATCCACCACCCCAGTTCAGGGATCCGATGACCTCTTCTGACCTCCACAGGCACCAGGCATGCACGTGGTGCCCATACATTCAGGCAGAACTTATACTTAGTCTAAACACATATTTAAAAAGAATCTAGAATGCTGTTAGATAATGACATGAGACTAATGGGAAAAGAATCCTAGTTGTTCACTTCTGTGAAACACCACAATCTTTGTGTGTCCTTGTTTTCATACTACCTTACTTATTTGGGAACCTATGA